GTTGTCTGTTCCGTACAGGCTTCCCAGCTCACAGGAGTGCGACATTCTCTTCCGTTCCTCTACCCTGATGACCCTCAGCCCGCGCGCTTCAAGGCGTCCGCCTACAGTGGCCGCACGCGAGCGAGAGATTCTGGAAACAGGGTTAAACCGTGACCCGTCGCCGGACTTACTCAACGGTATGTGTCATGTTTTCCCGTGCTGCGTCCGTCGTGTGCTAGGTGGCTGGCTCGACGTGAACGCAGAACTTTTTCATGGTCGTCTGTTCGATGAATTGGCCTTAAAATCAGAGAATTCCCATACAGGGCGGCTGGGGCGGCCTAGCAGGGGAGAAGGCATTAGCGATGTTCTTCACTTGTCGATAAATGGCCTTAAAAATCAGATATCCCTGCAAGGGCATTGGGCAGCTAACGCCGGGAGAAGGCATTGAAGATGTTCTGTAATTGTATCGGTGAACATGCAGATCAACCATGTTGTTGAATGTGTTAAACCAATAAAGAACCTTATGTAATTAGCTGTTGTCTAGTATTACCGAAGTAATTGAGACAAGGCAATTGGTATGGAGAGCTTGACGATGCGTCGTTATAGGTGACGATAACTCGCATTATCGGATGCTGTACGTGACGTTTGGCAGTCTTCTGTGAGCACAGGCACCCAAAGAGCGAGGAAGAAGAGGGCGCATTAATCTGCCAAACTCTTGCACATGGAGATCTCGCACGTGCGTGGTCTAGTTAAAAAATTATATACTACTTATAGTGAACTCGAATGATGAAAAAAACTTACCTCCACAATCGCGTCAATTCTACCATCTCTAAAGGTTTTTGCGTGGTTGTGGTTAAATGGATGCAACTATGCATATACTAGCCTTTCATTTCCAATCCTTGAAGTCGTATCGTGCGTGGGAGTCTAAAGTAAAAAAATTTAAGTCGTTGTGAAAGCTCTCTTACAGAATGTTACTTTAAGTTTCTAGTGCATATTTAATTTGTATCCCCTTGCCGACGGGGATACTATGGTTCATGTCTGTTCAGGCCCGCCCAGCCGCAGACACTTTCCCTTCCGCTCTATAACTCGACCCCTAATTGACCTGAGTGGGGGGGGGGGGGGGAGGGGGGGGGGGGGGGGGGGGGGGGGAGTGACCAAACATGGTCTTACTTACACATCTGGGGAGAAGGTGTGTGCAGAACGTACCAAAACCAGCCAGTCATACTGACCTATTATTGACCCTTTGAGCCTTTATATGTTTTCCCTTCCGCTCTCCTATAAATCGACCCCTATTGACCTAAGGTGACAAACATGGTCTACATTACACATCTTGGGGAGAAGCTGTGCAGCGTTACCAAAACCAGGTCACTACCGACTTTATCTTGACCCTTTTGACCATTTATACATGTTTTCCCTTCCGCTCTATAACTCGGCCCCTCTAATTGACCTAGCGCTACCAAACTTGGTATTACTTACACATCTATGGGAGAGAACGGGCCCAGCATACCAAAACCATGGTCACTGTAACACTTATATTGAACCTTTAGCTTGCATCATATTTCCCTTCCGCTCTATAACTCGTCCCCTAATTGACTAGCGCTACCAAACTTGCGTTGACTTACACAATCTTCGGGAGGTGTGTCAACGTATCAAAACCAGTCACGTGCGACCTTTATTTGACCTTGAGATATGATACTTGACCATATTTCCCTTCCGCTCTAATAACTCGGCCCCTAAATGTTGACCTAAGGGTGACCAAACTTTGGTATATATACCTTCACACGCGATGAGGTATGTATACCTTACACTACGCGAACATCTGCCCGCCGTCCACTGACGAAGTGTTGCAAGTACACACGAGAACCGTCTGTGTTCGTCCAATTATCTTGTTGACCACCCATTTGTGAGACAAACGGTAATATAGCATAGCAAGTTTCATCTTCGCGCAATGGCATAACGTTATTTAACCTTATTAAAACTTGGTTATCTTACACATCTTGCAAGAAGGCAGTCTGTCGCGTACTAAACGCAGGAAGAATATTTCATTCATACTAGATCACGTGGGGGGATTAGATGTGGTTGGCGACAACTCCATATTCTCAGTTTATTAAAATAACCCTCCTTGCTGCCCCAGTTCCTTTAGTGTTTAATTATTAAAAAAATAACTTACCTTCCCGCTGTTCCTCCTGTTTTTATAATAAATGACCTCCTGTTCCTTCCCCATGTTCCTGCGTGTTTTATATTAATAAATGACCCCCCTGCATCCTCCTGTTTTTATAATAAATGACCCTCCAGAAAGAATAGCGTTTACTATTAATTAATAGTAAACGCTATTCTTTCTCCCGATGTTTGTCGTAAAATGTAGGATTAATGATCGACAGACACAATGGGTCAATGCCTCCTTGTAATGCTACTTAGCTTCATTATTACAGCATATGTAACAGTTGATCGGTAGAGTTATGAGCGCATAGCGGCGCAGCGTGCTGCTGCTGGCGGCTCTCTCTCTCTCTCTCTCTCTCTGTGTAACGTCTAGACCAGCGTGCTGAGCAGTGACGTGGCGTGAGACGTGACAGTGCCGACGTACTTCTGCCAGTGTGTCAGGTTAAGGAGGGAACTAGAAGCCATGCTGAGTCATGCCGAGGGAGGAAGCGAGGAAGTCAGTGCGGAGGGAGGAAGGGAGGGACGCAGGAAGGGAGTGAGGGAGCGAGAGGAAGGGAGGGAGATAGGCAGGGGAGGGAGGGAGGAAGGGAAGAAACGGAGGGAGGGAGGGGGTATAGAAGGGGGAGGGAAGGAGGGAGCGGGAGAGGGAGAAATGCAGGGGGAGGGAGGGAGGGAGCGGGAGAGGGAGAAATGCAGGGGGAGGGAGGGAGGGAGCGGGTGAGGGAGAAATGCAGGGGGAGTGATGGCCGGAGCAAGGCACGGAGGCAGGACAACGGAACGAGAAGGGCAGGGAGGGAGGAAGGGAGATGATATGGCGGTAGTAAAGACTTTAATAAAAAAGTTGAATTAGTAGAGTAGATTTAGAAAAATACTAAACCTCATTATATCTCGAGAATACACTATGCTGTGCAAACGCGAATCGTGTGCACGTATGCATATATATATATATATATATATATATATATATATATATATGCACACATGCACGTGATTCGCGTGTGCACGGCATAATGTAGATGCAGCATTCTCTCGACTATATAATACAGAGGTTTTATGGTGGATGAAGTTAGCATAGTGATGAATGATGACATTTTGGCTGCCATTAAAGTGGCTGGCATCGGTGTCATTGGTGTAGTTGCTGTGGTAACTGACTGGTGGCGCCGTCTGTGAGTATAATGCCTTCCTCTTGTTTCTTTGTGTGCAGAAGAAGCATGCATGTGGCTTCAAGTGTCCGACCGTCGCCGCCTGCAGGCATCTGTGGAAGTGCTCCGTCGAACAGAAGACATTCTGGACGTAAGTGTGTGTCTGGGTGTGTGTGTGTGTGCGTGCGTGCGTGCGTGCGTGCGTGCGTGCGTGCGTGCGTGCGTGCGTGTGTGTGCTGCATGGAGACCATCTCTGTTTCTCTTTCTCTCTGTTGCTTTCTCTCTCTCTCTCTCTCTCTCTCTCTCTCTCTTTGTTACTCTTTCTCCCTCTCTCTGGCCATCTCTATTCCCCCTGTGCCCCCTATCTGTCTCGCTGGCCCTCTTCATCTTCCTCTCCCTCTCCCTCTTTCTCCAACTCTATCTCCATCTTCATCTGTCTCTCCCCCTCTCTCTTCCTCTCCTCCTTTCTCTGCCCCATCTTGCTCTCTTGCCTCGTTCCCAATTTGCAGCATTCAGTAACACGAGTGAAAGCTAGCTATAGGACGATTACGTTTCTGCATGAAGTGAATGATTGCCTCATTGTTTCTCTTTGTTTCTTTCTCTCTCTCCCTCTCTCTCTCTCTCTATTGTTCTTTCTCCCTCTCTCTGGCCATCTCTATTCCCCCTGTGTCCACTATCTGTCTCGCTGGCCCTCTTCATCCTCCTCTCCCTCTCTCTCCCACTCCATCTCCATCTGTCTCTCCCCCTCTCTTTTCCTCTCCTCCTTTCTCTGCCCCATCTTGCTCTCTTGCCTCGCTCCCAATTTGCAGCATTCAGTAACACCAGTGAAAGCTAGCTATAGGACGATTACGTCTCTGCATGAAGTGAATGATTGCCTCATTGTTTCTCTATGTTTCTTTCTCTCTCTCTCTCTCTCTCTCTCTCTCTCTCTCTCTCTCTCTCTCTCTCTCTCTCTCTCTCTCTCTCCTCTCTCTATTGCTCTTTCTTCCTCTCTTCTGGCCGATCTCTTTCCCCCTGTTGGCCGCTATTTCTCGCTCTGGCTCCTTCATCTCGTCTTCCCTCTTACTTCTCTCTTTCTCCTCTCCACTCCATCTCCATCTTGTCTCTCTCCTCTCTCCGTCTCTTTCTCCTTCCTCTTTCCCTCTTCCTCGCCTCTCCGCATCGTTGCATCTCTGCCTCGCTCCACCCCAATTTGCCGCATTCAGTAACACATGAAAGCTAGGACGATTACGTCTCCGCAATGAAGTGAATGATTGCCTCATTGATTGAGGGCTCCTTAAGCCCGGTCGCAGATTCCAAAAGAGAAAAAGGTATTAAAGAGTGCAGCTGAACGTTGATGACTGCTTCAATGATTCATCGCATGCTGTTTTTCGAATCTGGTCGATGGCGCGACCTGTAATGAACATCTCATTCCTGACATTTAAAGCGGATGCTGCTAGCTGTTTCCTGTGCACAGCTGCTGGTATGTTGTTGCTATGTCTTCATCCTATGTTGTCTTACCTATAGGACAAGTGACGACATTGTTACTTGCTCCTGTATGTCGCATTATTCCTCAGAGGCATTCTCTGTTTGTTGTCTATGAGCTTCCTCCCAGGTTTGATGTTACTGCAAGGTTCATGAGCTCATGGATTTGAGGAGTAATTTGTGCTCTGTTCCTGCGTGGTGTTCCATTGTGTTGTTCGTATCATTTATCATCTGTGTGTTATTCCCGAGTGATTCATAATGGCATGTGTTGTTCTCGTGATTTATTGAACACGTATTGCTCCGGCAGATGTATGCTTGTTGCATTCTTGCTGTGTATTGTTCCTTACCATCCATCCTACATGTGTGTTCCTGCAGGGTTTCCCAGCTCGTGGTGATGAAATTGTTGTGCATTGTTCTATGTTGTCGTTCCTATCATCCTACATTGTGTTGTTCTTGGCAGGCTTTGCAGCTACAGGACGCAAATGACGTTGTTATGCATTGTTCCTGTGTGTTGTGTTGCTATCATCTATTCTACATTGTGTTGTTCCTATCATCCATTCCTACACTATGTTTGTTCCTGTTTGCTGTCCTATCATCCTACATTGTGTTGTTCCTGCAGGTTACCAGCTCAATGGGTGATGATGACATTGTTTTGCATTGTTCCTGTTTGTTGTTCCTATCATCCTAGCTTTGTGTGTTCCTACAGGGTTCCCACCTCACGGGTAATGATGACATTTGCTTGGCATTGTTCCTGTTTGTCAATTCCTATCATCCTACATCATATTGTTCCTGTTTGTTGTTCCTATCATCCTACATTGTGTTGTCTCCTGGCAGGTTCCCAGCTCATGGGTGATGACGACATTGTTTTGCATTGTTTCTGTTTGTTGTTCCTATCATCCTACTTTGTGTTGTTCCTACAGGGTTCCCAGCCTCACGGGTAATGATGACATTGTTGTCTTATTGTTCCTGTTTGTCATTCCTATCATCCTACATTATATTGTTCCTGTTTGTTGTTCCTATTATCCTACATTGTGTTGTTCCTACAGGGTTCCCAGCTCACGGGAGGTGACGACATTCTCTTCCGGCTCCTCTACCCTGATGACCCTCGCCCGCGGCTCAAGGTTCCGCTACAGTGGCCGCACCGAGCGAGAGATTCTGGAGAACAGGGTAAACCGTGACCCTCCGGACTTCTCACGGTATGTATGTTTTCCCCGCGCGCGTCCGGTCGTGTGGCTAGGTGCTGCTCACTGAAGCAGAACTTTTTCTGTCGTCTGTTCGATGAATTGGCCTTAACATCAGAGATTCCCTGCAGGGCGCTGGGGCGGCCACAGGGGAGAAGGCATTAAGGATGTTCTGTCATCTGTTCGATGAAATGGCCTTAAAATCAGATATTCCCTGCAGGGCATTGGGCAGCACGCGGGAGAAGGCATTGAAGATGTTCTGTAATGTATGGTGGAAGCATGCAGATCAACCATGTTGTTGAGATGTTAAACCAATAAAGAACCTTTATGTATTAGCTGTTGTCTAGTATTACCGAAGTAATGAGACAAGGAATTGGTATGGAGAGCTTGACGATGCGGTCGTTATGGTGACGTAACTCGGCATTATCGGATGCTGTCGTGACGTTGCAGGTCTTCTGTGAAGCAGCAGGCACCAAAGAGGAAGAAGAAGGGCGCTTATATCTCCAACTCTGCCAAGGAGATCTCGCACGGTGCGTGGGTCTAGTTAAAATTATAAGCACTAGTGAACCGATGATGAAAAAACTTCCTCACAATCGCGTCAATTCTACCTCTCTAAGGTTTTTTGGTGGTTGGTTAATGGATGCAACTATGCATATACTAGCTTCATTTCCAATCCTGAAGTCTATGTGCGTGGGAGTCAGTAAATAATTTAAGTCGATTGTGAAAGCTGCTCTACAGAATGTTACTTAGTTTCTAGTGCATTATTAATTGTATTCCCTGCGACGGGGATACTATGGTTTCATGTCTGTTCAGCCGCCGCCGCCGCCGCAGACACTTTCCCTTCCGCTCTATAACTCGACCCCTAATTGACCTAGCGTGACCAAACATGGTCTACTTACACATCTTGGGGAGAAGGTGTGCAGCGTACCAAAACCAGGTCACTACGACCTTTATTTGACCCTTACTTTGACCTTTATCATATTTCCCTTCCGCTCTATAACTCGGCTCCTAATTGACCTAGCGCTACCAAACTTGCCATACTTACACATCTTGGGGAGAAGGTGCGCAGCGTACCAAAACCAGGTCACTGTAACCTTTATTTGACCTTTACCTTGATCATATTTCTCTTCCGCTCTATAACTCGTCCCCTAATTGACCTAGCGCTACCAAACTTGGTATACTTACACATCTTGGGGAGAAGGTGTGTCACGTATCAAAACCAGGTCACTGCGACCTTTATTTGACCTTGACATTGACCTTGATCATATTTTCCTTTCGCTCTATAACTCGGCCCCTAATTGACCTAGCGCTACCAAAATCAGGTCACTACGACTTTTATTTGACCTTGATCATATTTTCCTTCCGCTCTATAACTCGGCCCCTAATTGACCTAGCGCTACCAAACTTGGTATACTTACACATCTTGGGGAGAACGTGTGTCGCGTACCAAAACCACGTCACTGCGGCTTTTATTTAACTTTACCCTTGACCTTGATCATATTTTGCTTCTGGTCTATAACTCTGCCCCTAATTGACCTAGCGCGACCAAACTTGGTATACTTACACATCTTGGGGAGAAGGTGTGTCGCGTACCGAAACCAGGTCACTGCAACCTTTATTTGACATTGACCTTGACCTTGACCTTGACCTTGACCTTCATCATATTACCCTTCTGCTCTATAACTCGGCCTCTAATTAACCTAGCGCGAGCAAACTTCGTATACTTACACATTTTGGGGAGAAGGTGTGTCGCGTACCAAAACCCCTGAGGCAACCCATTTTACAATTACTTGCACATCTCAGGCAGATGAGTTGTGTAACAAACCTTTGTCTTTGTGACTTATTTAACTTTACCTACCTTCTACGTCCTTACAGAGATATTTCATTCATACTAGATCACGGGGGATACATGTAGTTGGCGACAACTGCCCTTTCTAGTTGTTTAATACTTCCTTCTTCTGCTCATACTGCTCTTGCTTCTCCTCTCTCTCTCTCTTTCTCCCACTCTCTTTCCTCTTCCATATACTGTGTTTTAATAATTAATAACCCTTCCTCCTCCTGTTGCTCCCCTCTCTCTCCTATCCCGCTTGTTTTTTATTAATAAATAAGTGTAACGTTGAATTACTCCATTCATAATCCTCATTTAAACCTCTTAATCCTATTATTAACACACAGCACCGAAGTGGACGTGACAACCTTTGTCACTTCCACACATCATACAGCCAACAAAAATACGCAAAACCGATTTCATATTTTCGATGAAATGTTTTAGGCCTATCAAACTCTAATTGAAGAATGTGTTTAGTAGTCCGACAATATAGCGTAAACGTACCGTTAGCACAAATTCAAGAAAACGATTACACATTTCTACACAAAGTTTCACACAAAAGATTTTCCACACAAAGACCGTCACGGTCACAAGCATCTACCATAAAAAAAAATATACCGCGTACATAAAACAAAGAAAACAGATAAAAATACACATATCTGACGATGTCACACTTTCACGTCCTCTGTCTCTGCTTTGTCAGCCTTGCCTTCTCTGTTCTGCTCTCCTCTCTCTCTCTCTCACATAGGTCGAGAGTCGGACTTGCCCTCGCAGTATCACGGATGCAACACCGGCCGTTCCTTCCTTCACGCTGACTTACTCACATAGTTCTCACGCCGTGTGTATATCCACCGTTCTCTCTCCCGCGTCTCGCTCTGTTCCTCCCGTCTCGCTCTCCGCCATTCTTCGTCTCTGTCGATCGCTCTCCGTCGTTCTTCGTTTCTCCTACTCTTGCTCCTGTTCCCGTCTCTCTCTCTCTCCGTCTCTCTTGCTCTCTCGTTCGCTCTCCGTTTCTCTCTCTGCAGTTTTCTTGCCAGCGGTGTAACCAGCGACTCCTCCTGTGTCTTCTTCCTTCTCCATCTTCCTTTCGTATGGTTCGTAGATCGATATAGTTGTAGGTAGTACCTTACGTTGCGTCCGCAAAGGAATACCCAGGTTTTTGACTGTCACTGGCACCAAAATGTAACGTTGAATTAAAGTTCGTTGAATAAATGATATAGAAGGAATCCAAAACTTGTGTGGTAACCGGAATAAACTTTAATAACTGCTCGCACACAGTGTGTCCATCTTGCACAAAGACAACGCAACGCGCACACGCGCGTGAGCACGTGTGCTTCCTCTCGCGATCACCACCAGACTCCCGACCCCCTACATCTCTCTTCTTTCTCCAAAACCCCGCCATCATCCCACATGTCTACTGCTCTGCTCACCACCCATTTCACAGTCACCCTAGAAACTCTCGACCTAAAACACGTTTACAATTACGCAACAAGATGCCACGACGCTGTGTCTAGATAGACTATCACTAAAACAACCCCTAGTCTAGCTCCACTAAATACTCTATTTAAACATCTGTACATCACATGTTAAATAAACCCTTCTCCTCCTCCTGCTGCTCCTCTTTCCCTCCTATCCCTCCTGTGTGTATTATTTAATAACACGTCCTCCGGATTCTCCAGTTCCTCCTGCATTATATTAATAAATAACCCCTTCTCCTCCTTTCCTCCTGTATGTTATTGTATCCCCCTCGACGAAGTCGGCGGGGATGCTATGGTTTCATGTCTGTCCAGCCGCCACTCGCCTCCGCCGCCGCCGCCGCCGCAGACACTTTCCCTTCCGCTCTATGCCGACCCTTAATTGACCTAGCGTGACCAAACTTGGTATACTTACACATCTTGGGGAGATGGTGTGTCACGTACCAAAACCAGGAGATATTTCATTCATACTAGATCACGGGGGGGGATACATGTGGTTGGCGACAACTGCTATTTCTAGTTCATTAATAACCCCTCCTCCTCCTGCTTCCCCAGTTCCTTCTGTGTTTTAATTATTAAAAAAATAACTTTCTCCTGTTGTTCCTCCTGTTTTTATAATAAATGACCCCTCCTCTTACCCCTGTTCTGCCTGTTTTTATTAATAAATGACCCCTCCTCTTCCTCCTCCTGTTCTGCCTGTTTTTATTAATAAATGACCCCTCCTCATCCTCCTGTTTTTATAATAAATGACCCCTCCTCGTCTTCCTCCTCCTGCTCGTAGATTCGATGGGGGATGAGCCGACGACCCCGGGAACCCCGGAGAGCCCCAGTTCTCCATCGTCGCTGATGGACCAGCAGCCAGACACGATCCTGGAGGAGCCGCCGCAGGAGGCAGCCGTCGACGTGCCGCTCGTGAGGGAGACAAGCGGCTGGGAGAAGACGAACAGTGGCTGGAAGTACGCGCCAATGCACTCGCTCGACCTCGACGAGTCAGCTATCAGGTGAGTTACCTGTAGTTACCTGTAGAGTCAGCTATCAGGTGAGTTACCTGTAGTTACCTGTAGTTACATGTAGAGTCAGCTATCAGGTGAGTTACCTGTAGTTACCTGTAGTTACCTGTAGTTACATGTAGAGTCAGCCATCAGGTGAGTTACCTGTAGTTACATGTAGTTACCTGTAGAGTCAGCCATCAGGTGAGTTACCTGTAGTTACCTGTAGAGTCAGCCATCAGGTGAGTTACCTGTAGTTACATGTAGAGTCAGCCATCAGGTGAGTTACCTGTAGTTACCTGTAGTTACATGTAGAGCCAGCCATCATGTGAGTTACCTGTAGTTACCTGTAGAGTCAGTCATCATGTGAGTTACCTGTAGTTACATGTAGTGTCAGCCATCAGGTGAGTTACCTGTAGTTACCTGTAGTTACCTGTAGTTACATGTAGAGTCAGCTATCAGGTGAGTTACCTGTAGTTACCTGTAGAGTCAGCCATCAGGTGAGTTACCTGTAGTTACCTGTAGAGTCAGCCATCAGGTGAGTTACCTGTAGTTACCTGTAGAGTCAGTCATCAGGTGAGTTACCTCCAGTTACATGTAGTTACCTATAGGTTAACCAATGGTCACCTAGTTACCTATGGTTAACTGCATGTAGTTACCTATAGAGTAGATGTTTTTTTTTACATTACTTAACAGTTTCTCCTTCCATCACATCATGGTTTTACGTTCTGTCACATCATGGTTTCCCCTTCTGTCACATTATGGTTTTTTCCAGTCACATTATGGTTTTT